CAGCGGTCTCCCCACGGGCTGCAAACCGGCGCGTGACCGTCTTTTCCCTGGCTCGCCGACGAGACCAGAAAACTCTGTCTTACAGCCACAGTGTTCCATACGGGTTACTGTAGCACATAGTACTCAGATTTACTAAACTCTGCATTATGCCTTATTTTTCAAAATATAGATACTTCTGACAGATAGAAAATCTGGGTACTAGGTGCTAAAGTTATCAAAAAATGCATGTCAGTTGAGGAGAATCCTATTGGGTCCCTGAAAATAAGAGAAAGAGTAAGGAACGCCTCCTCCAATCAGCTCCGGGCCGGGCCCGTTTTCGGGCTTTCACGAAGAAATGTCCAACAAAAAAATGTCCACCGTAACTTGGTCCTCCCACTTCCAATATACACGGTAAAAACGAAGTCCCATTTTTTGAGGGAAAAGGGAAAACTTTGAGGGAGTCAGTAACTTTGAGGGACCTTCCTTGAAAAATAAGAACGACCCTCAAGGTTAGTCACAAAGTTTGAGGAAGTCCCTCAAAGTTAGCGTGGCTGCTGCTGCGCCCACCTCGCTACTTAGATCTTTGTAACAACTGATCAAATTGTCAGTTGGTCAAATTTAATGTGTTTCTCTTAGTTTTAGAGCTGCGGAACTCGTCCTGCAAAGTTTGATGTGTGTACGATGAGAAAAAACGAAACAGATTATTTAAATGGTTTACGTGCTTTTAGACGTACTTGCACACGTAAATCATTCAGAAAATCAGTTTCATGAGTTTCGCAGGTCTAAAACTTAGAGGAACACATTAAATTTGACCAACTGACAATTTGATCAGTTGTTACAAAGCTCAAGAAAGATCCCTCAAAGTTACTGACTCAAAGTTTTCCCTTTCCCCTCAAAAAATGGGACTTCGTTTTTACCGTACAATGTCCTCTAGTCGATCAGGGCCAATAACATAAAATGGCAAATGAAATAAGGGCCAACGTAGTTCATAGTTTATTGTCCAAGTCGAAGTCACTCTTGGATTTTAATATTGTACGCAACAGCCTCCAGGTAGCGGATGACCTCGTCCTGGGCTGGCCGCGGATCTGGTGCAGGTTAATCACGCGACGCATGGAGTTCCTCTCTGGAAGCCGGGCGCGTACCTCTGCGGGTCCGTGACGGCCCCGACGGCAGTACAGTACGTAGGAGCTGGTGATGCAGGGACGTAGTCTACCAACTCCCCAACGGTATCGCAGCTGTAATATGTGTGGTGAACATACTCGCTGCGGGGGGTCGTTCGGATGCTCCTCGCCAGCCCGCTGCTTCACTCCCCGCAT